ACAAGTCACAGCAGTTCTATCAATTATAAAAGAGAACATTATGTTTTACAGTGAGATCATTATCTCTTATAGTAAGACTTATATATTGATGTGCCCCGGCCTTGCTTTTGTGAAAAACCCTGGGAGATGTAGAACACCATGTATAAGCCAAGCATCACAGTCCCCAAGCCATTTGGCTCTCTGGTAGAAGTTTGTGTGGTTGGAAGGGGAACCATCAAATGATAATGTGAGACAGTAAACTTGGTCACATATTCTGCAGGGCACAAAATGATAGGAATCATTGCTAATAAATGATTGCTATTGATGCAATGTACTTCATTTCTGTGCCTTCTCCTTCCCCTCTTTTATCAGAATCTTAATAAAGAAGGGAAACAGAGGGGGAGGGTTTTTCTGGGTAAAGTATCATGCTATCAGCATTTATTCTGGTGTCTTGGTTAGGCTTACAGTTGTTGTACAAATATGTGAAATAGGGCTGGAAGGGACCCTAAAAATCATCCATTTCCAACCCCCATGCCATGGGTAGGGACATTTTCCACTAGACCAGATTGCTCAAAGCCCTGTTCAGCCTGGACTTGAACACTTTCAGGGATGGGGCAGCCACAGCTAAGTCAGCCTAGGGAGGAAGTAACAAATAAACCCCCCAAAACATTAGCAATTATAAAGATGTAAATAATTCAGACTTTCAAAAATAGGGATAATCGGTAACTGCTAAATGATCTAGATTTTGACAGCTTAAAGCACTGTTATGCTGTAGTATTGCACTGACAGATAAATGAAAAAAGTTCAATCAAATACATTCTTTCTACTTGCTGTGCACATGATTTTATGAACAACACTGCAAAGGGCATGTTTATGGTTATATCAAATTCTAATACTTGGCTTTCAAATTGTTGACCTTTAACAGTGAGACACAAACTGCCATTGCTGGCATCACATATTTGTGGTACAGTATCCTTCAGAGAAACGGATGTATCAGCAGAAGTGGTGGTGATGCTATCTGTAGTGAGGCCATGATGCTACATCAGTTAGAAAATATGGAGGAAAACTGACCTGTTTGTGTGGGAAGTGAATCTGAAATGGTAATTTCAGAAAAAGCTTTTGGAATGTGCTGATGCTTGTCTGGGATGTGAATGCTGTGTGGCTTCTGATGTGGCACAGCCAAACCCCAGCAAGCAGCATGGTCTGCCATTCTGCTGGGAGCAGTACCCCTGCACTGAGCACATGGCAGCCTCCTAGTGCCATTTTTGAAAGGATGCCTTGCAGCAAAAGATTTTAATGGTCCCTGTTAGAGCAAATTGAAAAAAATGCAAGCATACAGTCAATTTGGTATCCTATCAAAAGAATTACAGTTGGTACATGATGTGTAGATGCAGTTCCAGCTACCAAACCCGAAATCCAGTCCAGATAGCAGGTGTTTGTCTTTGGGTTGCTGTGGTAGCTGTTGCAGACCCTGGTCTCCCAATAAATCACGCCATTCTATGTGACCCAAAAGTATTCTTTGGCCTCTGCTTTTGTCTATACATGCATTTCCTAAATATTTTCAGTTCTTTTCTTCATTTGTGAAGATTAATTCTATTAAGCTATTAAGTTCTTATACTGCAATTTCTTTTTTTTTAATAGATACTAAGTTATGTTACCAACAACTGGTTTAATCATGTTATGACTGAACTTGGAAAAACTATCATTTGCCATCTAAGTAGAGTATATACAGAGAATGCACTACAGTACAGTATGATGGTAGGGACAAAGCTAAGATAAAACCGAAAAGAGAAAGGGAATGGACCTTTCTTCCTGCTCACCTCCCTCCTTGAAAGTAGAGAAATACCTTCCCCTTCCCTCAGCTGCTTCAGTTAGAGCAATGGCCCCACAAAGAGGATGTGGTCATAGATCTATGCTGTTGGAAATAAATAGGTGCAACAGGCACCACCAGGACATATTTCTTATTCTTAATGTGCACATCTCAGCATAGGGATAAGAAGTCAAGAAATCCAAGACTGAAACAGAAGACACAAGCACCCATTGAATTGGTATTCAAAAAATCCCACATTGAAAGTAGTGTGACATGTAGCCTGTTTCTGTAGCTCATCACCATTCATAATTTCAGTGAATGAAAGTTTATTTTTCACAGTATTTTGTATTTTTCTTGTACATGTTTGCAACCATTTGACCAACATTTGTTTGTAATTTCAAATGTATAAAATGCCCCCAAATCTTTTCTCTTGTCTCTCACCATTCTGTGTTGGAACAGCCAACAAAACTGTGGCAACAATAGCAAAACAAATGAATAATTTTGGATTGTTTGCTTTGAAAAAGATTAGTATGTTGGTGCAGCAAAATGTTGCCAGATCAGATTCCTTTCTCCTTTCCAAGAGATTCTGAATTAGAAGGCTTGCAAAACAGATCAAAGGCAAGAATTTTGTTCAGGCTGCCTCTATTGCAGGTTCAGTTATTAATTACAGCCTTCAGTTCTGGTCTAGGACAATGTAAATGGCACTGGTTTTTTTCTGTATCTTATTTAATCAGGTCTTGTGGTTGTTCACTGCACAACTGAGATCAAAAAAAGCCATTGATAAATCCAGAGAACAAGACAATGATTCACACATCCCACGGTTCAGATTAGGTAAAGGCAAAGGACACACTAAACAACTGAATTAAATCTGACTTAATGATTGGCAACACTGCCACTATGGATGGTTCCTAAATAATCTAATTTGATTGGATTCAGTTTAAAATATAATCCATTTCTCAAGGAAGTGTCTTGTAATTTATAGTTTAGCATGAAATATATTACATGAGGAGAATTATTTTCATTCAGTAAGCTCATGCTTGTGCAGCAACAAAAGAATAAGAAAATGTACCTGAAAGAGAGAAGCAGGGATGTACTGGGGGAGCTCTCAGCTTCCCACAGCAGGTCACCTGGAAGGAGCAACTGCCATCTTCAGGTCTCCAGTGGGTCCCAGATTGGGCTGTTTCAGGGATCTCTCTTCCAGCCTCAAGAATAAAATTTCATTAACCTCTTTCTGATTACAAGTGTGCTAAATTACCTCACCCACAGGTAACAGAGAAATGCATCTCCAGGCTAAAGGAATGAATATACAGGCCAGTGAATGTTTGGGGGACCTTTCTTTAGAGGACTGATACTTTCAGGCTCCTGTTTAGTGTAGTGATCCTGCCTGCCTATAGGTGTGCAAGTAAAGACTCCCTGAGTTGCACAGTCCATGGCTGCCTGTATTTTCAATCACAAATACGAATGAAACAAATTCTTTTGGTAGTGTTTTTGGCAAGCTGTGTTGTCTCCCTTCTTCAGCATGGGTAAATATGTTTGGTCATGGAAAACTAGTGGATTTCTTTGTCCCTGACACCCCTTCTTCACAAGCAAACACTCTTGCAGATCTTTTGCTTTTTCAGAGGTGGAGAGAGAGCCTCACAACAAAGTACTGGCAGGAGAGCAACAGAAATAAAGCTGTAGTCTTATGATTATAGTTTAATAGCTTTCTTTTTATTTTAACGTGCTTAAACCTAATCCCACAAGTTAGCCCAATCACAGTATCCAATCTAGCGTTGTTTTCAACTATCAGTAGGTGGTTTTTAAAGCTCTCTTTAGATGATACATGGGGCCCACATAGTGAAGTCAATAGTTAGACAGGATATAATTTAGACTTCAGCTTTACTTCTCAGTTTGAAATAAAATGATTACATTTCAGGAGAGCCTAAGGAAAGATTAAAGTTTTATATCAAAAGTTGAATATTTTCTTTTGTTGTACCCTCTTCTTTTAAAGAAAATGGTATTCATTTAAAATAATGCATGCTCTGATGTGTTTGAAAAGGCACTACTCTGAATTAAAAAGAAATTCATAAAGAATGCATGTATAGGAGAGGAAGATTGCTATCTTCATTGGAGCATTTAGTCAAAGGGTTTTAACACAACCCATTCTACTTTATTCATAGAATGAGGTATCTGCAAAGACACCTTGTAAATAACAGATGGTCAATAACGTTTATAGAGCAGTGGTTAAGGTGACAAAAGTCTTCTGGGACTCTTCTCCACAGGCAAGTTATAAAGCCATATTATAGCCTCTGTTCCAGACTGAAAAATGGTCCTTGACTCTCTTGGTACCCATTAAAAGTAGTTCCGGGCAATAGCTCCACGTAATTACAGTTCTGGTAACCCCTGTGATGCCTTTCATTTCTTGTACCCCAAAGTTATGAAAGGGTAGAGACCACTTGTAGTATACAAAGTTGTAAAGCTCACATGGGACATGGGACATCCCAGATATGAACAGAGTAAGAAGTGAGGAGTAAAACATGAACAACAGGATAAAGTTACTGTCTGATAAGGTTGGCAAGATTTTATTGTTGACATCAGTGAGTCTGTTTTACCCAGGATGCCCTAGGCATATTTTTAAAAAGCATTACCTATTAAAGGGGATTCCTGGAAATCTCCTAAAAGCAAATGCGTCTTTTGTAGGAGTTCAACACAGCAGCCAAATTAGCATAGGTCTTCCTTTTCCAGGAGCCATTGGAAGAGTCTAAAAATAACCCTGCTATAGTTAAGTAGCCTGCTTTCATGCCTGTTAAAAAGAGGAGTGCAAAAACTGTTGTTACTAAGGGGAGGTGGTCACTGAACAGGCAAGTTGAAATTTTCTTGATTTTATTGCAGAAACAAAAGGAGGGTTTTTTAAAGTATATTCTTCTGGGAAAACCGATTAGCACTAAAGCACACTAGTATCTTAAGGCAACGTTACCAACATGGGTTTATGTTCATTTTCTGTATATCAGTGGTGCTTGTTTTCACATGAGGACACGTGACCATTGGAACGTAGGTTGACACAGCCTCAGTAACCTCCACACTGCCAGTTAAATAGACAAACAATAACAAATATCGAGGGCGATTGAGGGTGCTCATAGTACAGAATAGTGAAGGTCTGTGTTCAGTTAATATTAACTCTGTAATAACTCTATTGCAAAGGAGATGAATTGTTAATATGCTGTTATTCCAGGTTTCTAGAAGAACTGATGTGATTGCAGGATTAAGACGACAATTAATGGCTGCTGAGGAAGAAGAAAATTCAGCATATCCTCCTCTCAATGTGACCACTGGAAATGATACATGCATCCTTTTTTATGCTAGGAATTTCAGCCTCAAAGCCAACAGTTCAGTTTTAATAGATTTGACAAATGCAACATTTATAACACAGAATGTGGATATTTCTGCCTCTGAGTGCTCAAACAGCAACACGACGTGAGTAGCACAAGAAATTTCATATCATAACACATGTAATTCTGAAAGCTATTCAGAAATGGTGCAATGTCAAGTTAGTACTAATACAACTTTCTTATTCTAAAGCATCTAAAATAAAAAATAATAAATTGAATTTTCTTGGAAGAAAAAGGTTAAGTCAAGACCACAAAAATTGCTCAGATGCAGCCTCTTATTATCACACTTCTTTTTTGACTCTTACATTCCTTACTCCCTTGTTTGTTTATATTTGGTTCAAACAGGTTTCATTGTGCCTGATCTCGCAATCACAGAAATCTCCACTGGCATTAATGAGATCATAATTTCATTCCCTTGAAGGGTAGTATTGCCAGTTGCTAGATAGTAATTCAGATGGAAGTACATTAATAAAAAATGATCTCTGTTTTCCCTTACTTTGAAGCACCTGCTCTTGGGTAAATAAAACCCTAGAAATATTTAGTCATATTTTTTCTGTGTACTGAACCTTTGCTATATGACTTTTGTAATTGCCTACTGATTTAGAATACTCCCTCCAATTGAAATGTCACAATGATCTAATTAAAGCTGACTAGTCTAACATTAAAAATCTGTTTCTTATTCTCAGACTGTCATTAAAATACACAAATCCAGTGAGTGGAATCAGCAGCCTAGAGATAAGGTAACTTATTATTTATTCTTAAATAAATCTTTGTGATTTACAAAGCCTGATTATAAATAAGGAGCAAAAAAAGAGGAGTTAAGTGAAAATGTTTTTGAATTTACAGTTTGCTTTCTCTTCTGAGGAGTTACTATGCAGAACAATAATACAGTCTTTATATAGAGATTATATTGATATGCCCAGGTTCCGAAAAAATATGGTAGGCAAACAACCACTCTGTAAGGTACTGGCATATGCAGCATCCTGTTTCATTAATAGGAGTCCTATTAGTGAAGAAAGGATTCATTTTTTCCTAATAGTAATCCACAGTCCTATCTCAGGTAAATGTAACTGTGACTTCTAAAACATTCTAGGGGCTGATGTCTACTTGCATGGCCAGGGCTGTATTTAGTCCTAATGTGGATTGTGGATAGCTTGTGGTTGCTAAGGGGTGCAAAAAATTTAATTTTGCTGTTCCATGAATTGTTACAAGACCACCTTTCTCCTACGACGAAAAGAGGGAAGAAAAGCTATGGAGTGGGAAGACTTGGGATGAAAAATCAAAGGGAAAATCATAGAATCACAGAATCATTTAGGTTGGAAAATGCCTCAAAGATCATTGAATCCAACCTTTAACCCAGCGCTTCTAAGTCTACCACTAAATCATGTCCCTAAGTGCAACATAAATAACTCCAGGGATGGTAACTCAGCCATTTCCCTGGGCTACCTGTTGCAGTGCTTCACAACCCCTTCCACAAAGAAATTTTCCTAATATCCAACCTAAACCTCCCTGGTGAAATTTGGGTCCATTTCCTCTTGTCCTCTGGCTTCTTACTTGGAAGAAGAAACTGACCCCCATCTCATTACAACCTCCTGTCATGTAACTGTAGAGGGTTCTTAGCCTCATTTTCTCCAGCCTAAACAACCCCAGCTCCTTCAGTCATTCCTCATAAGACTTGTGCTCCAGCCCCTTCACCAACTTCATTGCTCTTTGGACACACTCCGGCACCTCAATGTCTTGTACTGACGGGCCCAAAACTGAACACAGGATTTGAGGTGTGAAGTCAACACTGCGCAAAACTGAACACAGAATTTGAGGTGTGAAGTCAACAGTGCCGAGTACAGGTGGACAGTCATCTTCCTAGTCCTGCTGGTCACACTATTTCTGATACAGGCCAAGATGCAATTGGCCTTCTTGGCCACCCGGGCACAATGCTGGCTCATACTGAGCTGTCAGCCAGCACCCCCAAGTCCCTTTCTGCTGAGCAATTCTCAGACTACTTTTCCCCCAGCCTGTAGCACTGTGTGGGGTTCCCAGGATCCAAGTGCAGGACCTGGCACTTTGCCTTATTGAACCTCATGCAATTAACCTCATGCCATGGATCCTACCTGTCCAGATCCCTCTGTAGAGCCTTCCTACCCTCCAGCAGATTGACACTCCCACCCAACTTGGTGTCATCTATCTGCAAACTGACTGAGGGTGCTCTTGATCCTCTCATCCAAATAATTGACAAATATATTAAACAGAACTGGCCTCAACACAGCTCTGTGGAATAACACTTGTGACTGTCTGCCAACTGCATTTAACTCTATTCAGCACCACTCTGAGAATTTGCAGATGTTGCTCTCACTAGTGGATTCTAGGGCTAAGGAAAGCATCTGCTAGTGTTTGAGTGCTGTCATACTGTTGCTGGTCAAGAAATGGCAATTCTTTCCTCAGCATCAGAAACAGCAGTTAAAATTGTTTTCTTTAGCTCTGGCAAAGATAATGTGGCCTACTCTTTTCATTTTGGTACCTCGATTAATTGCATAAAATTATTTGGGAAGGAATTGGGCCAGGGAACTTGCACTGAATTAAATTTCCATATATCAGATGATGAACTGAATGTTTGCTTAGGCAGCAGGACACACGACTTTAGCCAAAAATACTGTTCTCAAACCAAGACACTGCCCAAGCTGTGTTTTTTGTTTGCTACAATTCCCAAAATACCACTCTCTTGTGCTGCCCTGCTGCTTTTCTGTCTGCTCTTTGCTGCTCCTGTCCCACTCTTGTAGAGACAGACTTCCAAAACAGTGCTCTGGATTTTCATTCTGCATATTTGCTAATCCTAGCACAGGTTTTAGCTGTTCTTCTGTAAACTCTTTCTGTCTGAATGAATCTGGTTGTTTTCTACTTTTGTCCTGAATATGGCCATCCTCAGCATAATATCATGCTTTCTAGTAAAACTACAGTTCCAGAAAATAATATGAACCATAAAGCACCCTATGGAGCATAACACTGTTTCAAAACTAGTTAACTGATAGCTCTTAAAGGTGTTGTTTTCTTTAAAGTAGTCAACAGGTTTTGCTCAACTATACAAGAGCAAATTGCAAGTCTTAGGATGCTACTATAGAAACAAAATACTTGGGCAGTTGAAACATTTACCTTAGATTTTGTTTGCTGCAGTAAGCATAAGATCAAATATGATGTTCGTGCACACATATGGACTTAATGAGGATTATTCAGATTTAAGTTTAGTCATCTGTTTGTTAAAAACTTATAACTTTAATTAATTGTTGGACAAAAATTTTAACATGGTCATGATTCTGAGGTGCATCTGGAGAGAAAAAATTTGCAGCAATTCTGCAGACAGACGAATTGTAATTTATAGGAGAATGTAAGTACAAAAGGTGAATGGTTCATGTTTTCTCTCTTTTTTGGGAATATTTTTCTGTATCCTTTGAGCCTGTCATAGTAAAGGCAGAAATACTCAGAAAGTTTCTCTTGACCTGTGTGTCTACTTGAACATGATATAACTAAACACCAAAATGCATAAATAGCCCTTGAAGCTGGAATAAGAAACTTGGGCTATATAATAGGTAAGGACTTGGAAAAAAAGCTCAGGTAAAGTCCTGAGCATTGTTACGCCCAGCAAGTAATTAAAGTAGCATAGGCTGGCTGTGTTTTGAAGGAGAATTTGATTTCTTCCATTGGGCCACGTGTTATCCTGGTTTCTAATAGGCCCTCAGGGCATTTATACACAAATATGTCTAAATTGGTTAATTTTTATGTGTGACACAGGTGCTTAGCAATAAAAAATGCAATAGAGGAAGAATGTAGGGAGCAGCTTCCAGGGCAGCCATTGCTTACACATTCATTGTGCATTGGCCTGTATGTGGGAGGTAGAAAGTGCTTCTGTATTTCCCCCCCTCTTTCCTTAACTTATTAAGCTTCTTTTATCTTGATCCACATATTTCCTCATTTTTGCTCTTTCTATTCTCCTCCCACTTCCTGTTGAGGATGGGGAGTGAGCAATGGGTGCTTGGCTGCTGGTTGGTGTGGACCCACAACACCTCAGAAGTCTTTATAAAGAAAAAATAGTGTTAAAGACTCACCTTGTTATTTGAGCTGTTTTGTATTGGATTGTCACTTGATTTATGAGACAATGGTGTAATTTTAGGCCTATTAGTTACCATAATGCAATATTGCATGCCATGTAATGCAAATCATAAGGTGTACTCAATGGAACCAGAACAAGCCATTGATTTTATTTTTTCTCATGATTCACTAACACTTTATTCACCTTCTTTATCTCAGCAAGTCTCTTGTCAAGAGCTCCTAAAATCCACAGAGATACATTACAATCTCTCTTTTCCCCTTCCGGTTTACTTCGATTATAAGTCTTGTTCAAGATTACACCTTGCTAAGGTTGTGGTCTGCTTTAATAAACAGAACACAAGCAGTGCAAAGAGATGGGAAGGAATAGAGCTTAGAGCCGTGGCTGCATTTTTCCCTCTGTAAAGGTGTAGGAGAGCATCCCTTGAAGACAGAAAGTGACTCCACAGAGGACCATGTTCAAGTAGCTCAATTTATTCATCAATAAAAGAGGCTCTAACTTCAGCAGCATGAGCTGGCTCCAGAGCCCATTTCCCTTACCACCACCAGCCTACCCCCACATACTGAACAGCTGGTCATGTCCTGCCTCCTACTAGCAGCTGTGATAGCTGCTTCATCCTGTGCAAACAGCTGTCACCTCCCTCTCCCTCTCTCAAGCAAGAGCTACAGTCCCACTCATTCTCCAGCACTTGCCGCTGAGAGGTGAGCTGTTAGGAAGTGGTTGTAGAACGGTGTTTTGATAGTGTTAGAAAAGTAAACTACTGCTGCATCAGGACTGGGAGCAGTGGGCAGTAGTTTTTTGCTGGAAGAAATGTCATCTCAGCTCTCTCATAAACTGATGACATCTAGCTGTTCAAGCACTTGTCTGTCATTTCATTTGCAAAAAAGTGTCAAAGTGCAGAGCATTAGTATTTTCCACATTGACATTGATAAGTACTTGACTGTTGTTGTTGCTCATAACATGTATAGAATAGAACCGACTCAAGAACCATGTTTTAAAGTCTTTTACCTAACAGCTGTGTTTCTCTTTGAATCTTTGAAACAGTAGTAATTCTAGCTATCTTCCTTTTCAGAAATATATCTGTTAGTGTCAAAGTGCAGAGCATTAGTATTTTCCACATTGACATTGATAAGTACTTGACTGTTGTTGTTGCTCATAACATGTATAGAATAGAACCGACTCAAGAACCATGTTTTAAAGTCTTTTACCTAACAGCTGTGTTTCTCTTTGAATCTTTGAAACAGTAGTAATTCTAGCTATCTTCCTTTTCAGAAATATATCTGTTTATAATGATTAATGAGACATCATAGGAACAGGTGGTGGCATTCAGAGTTTATATAGTTATCTGGCACAAAGAGAGCCTGGCCCACGACCAGGAATTGTTTGTGTACATTATGTGCATAAAGTACATAATGCCTCTAATGTATATAATTGTCTTCAATACGAATATAACATTTCCTATAAAATCTAAGGTACTTTCAATTCTGCAGATAAAACCTCTGTTCTCTCCTTGTCATTCATTTGCTATAATGTTCTCTTTCTATTTGCTATCTACTCATCAGAGAAAATACTAAACTAAATGGAGCAATTCTATATATTTTTTGTTGTTTGAATGTCTTTTTTGTAATTTAATGAATTATAGTCAACTCATGTTTTTGGAGGCTATTCACTGCTGGGAAAATGCTAAGGATAAAAGCCTGTATTAGTACGTCAACCATGCTCAGCTAGTTCACTAATTAGAATGTTAATTCTCATAAATCTGCAAGCAACACAACATTTTGGTCTTTGGTGTAACACCTTGGGGGTTACTTTAGACTGTACTCCCATACATCATAAAACTTGCTTGTTCATATTATAAACTTACAAGGAATTTCCTTGTTTACCACTTTTCTTTCTTCTCAGTAAAGTACAGACCACATCCAGCATCTGTGATTGGCCTAAACCTTTAAGTAAACTTGTCTCTGTTTATAACTGGCTTTCAGCTAGTGTCTAGAGCATTGCTACTGGGATACCATGGAAATTCTGTTCAGACTGTACTGTTTATCAGCAAAAGATTCCTTTCTTCTAGTAATCTTCTAGCCTTTCTTCTAGGCTAATATATGTTTTAATTTTGTAACTCTATAACAATAAAATATTTTCCATAAATATTTGCAAATGTGTACTAGATGAAATTCAATTTTTTTTTTCTTTTTCACTGATGCTTGTGGCTGAATGTTGTATGGATAGAGCTGTTTGGGCTTAAAATTTAAAGAATGCCATATGACAAAACATTTTTTTCTCATTTCAATGACACTTTGAGTTCTGGATTCCTTCTGAGCATTTTGAAACTCTTGAGGTTTGTGAAGTTCTGTGAATCAAAAGCCACAGATTATTAATAATTTATTTTTTTAAAGTGTCAATTACTATGGTAACCCAACCTGACAAATTTTTGTGTGTTGCTTGTAAGGAGCATCATTTGTGTTTAGACTCTATGTTGTGTGGATGACATGATACTGAAGGTAGACAATTTGAACAAACAAGGCATATTCTACAACAGTGAATATTCTCTTTATATATACATACCTTATAGAACATAAAATAGTCTGTATTGTGCCACATTTATAGATGACTGCTTATTTTTTCAAACCTATCATAATTGTATCTAAATCATTACCTCAAATTTTCAAGTCTACATACAGTGTTAGCCATTGTGTATAGACATATCAGAATATTTCATTTAATAGAAAGTCTCATTTATTGCTAAAATTATTCCTCTTCTAAATCCTTTGTGGTTACCAATAATCAAAAGAAATTGTTGCCAAACTATATTGAGGAATACATGCACAAATCAAGCAGGGTTAAAATATTAAGCAACATACAAGGAGAAATGTTAATCATTTCCTTATGAGATAACTTGAATCCCTAGAAGTAACTGGATGAAAAGCAATAAAAATTAGTACATAATCCTGACCTATAAAGGAACAGAGTGTACTTCTGGATGGTCTCAATTATTTCTGTTTCAGAACATCTGGGAGGTGTTTGGACTGCATTGGTAGTAACATACATATAAATTCCATAACTATAAACTACTGGAAACTGCTGCAATACCACACATACACAGATGTTTTCAAAATGAGAAAAGATTTATTTGTGCCTAACCCACTTCAAATTGTGAAACTAGAGCTAACAACCCCTCCCAACCCTCCAGTGAGAGAAAACTCTGACTTCTACATCAAACTCAGACCTTTGCAAAGGAAATTGCCATTTGGCATCTGAGCCAAGAAAGAATTGCAGTGATAAATCAGAATGGTTATCATGGCTGGCTGTACCTATCATAAAAGTAATTTTCAAAAAATCCCATAAAATGTTTATTCAGAGCCACTGCAGACTTACTGACAGTCTCTCAGGTTCTTCTCCACAGATTATAAACTGTTGGTAACTGATGAAATACAGCACTGACAGGGGCCCTTGAAGAATGAAATTGCATTTGCTCCTTGCCTGCCACAGCTATGGAAAGCTGTCCTTGTGAGATGAAACTCTAAGAAGTAGTAAATATATTCACAGAATCTCTTCACTTGCAAACAATCCTAATGACACGGGAGGCCAAGCTAAGATACCACCTGTGATGTTTGCAGTCAGCAACAGTGAACCTTTATCTGCCACCAGTACTTTATCAAATGTATATTAATTTTTTCCTTCTCACCTTTTGACTTTTTTTTCTCTTCTGTTGTCTTTCTAGGTTTTTAATGACCAAGAAGTTCTATGAAGGCTCAGCTAGAAATTGGTCCACTTTAGATTCAGTTGAGATTGTACAAGATGGAGAAAAGTTTGCTAAATTTAATGTTTCTGTCATCTCTGCTCCTGCAGAGTATTCATCTCATTGTCAGCTGGTGGGAACAAGCAATCTCTATCCTGCAAGGCTGGTTCCATCCAATGATGAGGCAAAAAATTGGGATGTTTTCATTTCCAGGTTACAAGTGAGTACACATTGCCATTTCAGAGATAACGCCAAGAATTATTACATGCTATTGTAGGTGCTGAATGCCAGACATTCATAATGCCCTTACTTTCATTTCAGCCTCAGGGAAAATGTAAAAGAAAAGTTGTTCCCTCTAGGTGAGCCATTCAATACAGAGGTAAAAAAGATGCCAGTTGCTGAACAATGAGAACATGAAAGCACTGCATTTAAAAACAAAACTATGAAGAAAAGAAAAACCAATAAAACCAAATGCGCTTAATCAGGCAAAGAATGACTAAGTCTCTATGCCTGTTTAATGAATTGGCCTGCTACTGGAAATGGGGGCCTCTTAGGTGGGTGGCTTTATGCTGCTTACTTTGTTTTTATTTCTTGGCACTTTGTTTACCTAGGAAAGTACAGCTTAGTGTGGCTGCTGTTTTCAGTGACATAGACTCTGTGCTCCTACAGACGGAAACAAAGCCCAGTGCAATTAGATTTAATGGAAGGTTTGTCATGGACTTCAGTCATGAACAATACTAGGTCCTGCATGGCCCAGAAGGAAAGCAGCTGGCTTTTCTTTTTTGAATGAGACATAGATTTTATGTGTACATAGCACAATAGTACACACTACATATGTGAGGTATACATGATTACATTTTTATTATTTTGTGCTTTGTTCTTGACTTAGGAGAAGCATATCAACACTTGCATCTTAAAACAATATTGCAGTAAGGTAGCTCTTTGATGAAATAGATCATGGAAATAATAGGAATAAATCCAAACTGCACTCTATTTGTCAAAGATGAGCTAGCCCTATGATAACTGGATATAACTGCTAATATAATTGTATTTATGATTTTGACAACAAAGGAAATCTCAATAATCTGAGTCCAGAGTTGACATTTCTGCTTAAACAATGGAAATCTCAAAGAGACAGCATTGGTGCTGATATCTATTTCCCACAAATTCTAGTATCAAGTCTCACTATTTTTTAAAGAAACAATGCAGCAATACACACCAATGTTGTGAAGGTTCCTTCTGATGGTATTTTTATATGGAAAGCCCTGAAAGTACAAAAGGTCGTGCAACTGTACTTTGCCTAGTCAACTCTTTGGAGCCAGACTTTTCCTTCACTAGAATATGAAAGTACATGAACTATGAAAATACAAAGCATCCACTTACAACCTATCTTTTCCTTGAATTGATACTACTGTCTTCTCAAAGCTTAAAGAGGCCTTGCTTCATCCTTAGTAGGCATTTTTCATTGTGGTCATTGTCAAGAGAACTAGTAGGTTTCCCACTTTCTGTATTGATTTGGAGCAGCAATTGCTTCCACTGTTCAGACAACAGAACTTCCAGGCCCTCTTGAGAAAGACCTTTTCCCTGATCAAGTCCTAAGCGTGGAACACAGCCTGAAAAGTCCTGTTTTGATTTTTGTTGTTGTGTGAGAAAACAGCAAGTCACGATTCTGGGCTTGTTTCTAAGTTCTGTCTGAACTAGGCCATATTTTTCCAGATACCTTCCACTGATACATAGTGAAATGTGATCCAATATCAGTCTTTGTTCTAGAATGAGGTTTAGAAACCTGCAATATGTGGCATGGTGAAAAAAGCATGTGGGATGTGCTCAGTGGTTGCAGCCAGCAAAAGATCTTGCTGAAACTGAGGAAGATGATTTTCATGTCAATGTTATGCAATGAATTAGAAACCAAGATCCAGTGCCAATCCAACTGGTACAATTGCACTTTGCAAGGCTGAAAACAGTATCACAGAAATAGAGGGACGTGTCAGATGCACAGGAAAGCCTTGCATAGCTAGTTCAAAGGCAAGGCTGAACTTATGCAGCCTTTGCTTTAGTTCTGGAGCTACCTCACTCACTACCATCTAGAGAATCTCTGTGGGATACTGTCTGGGCATGCTGATAGCCTAGGATGTCACCACCACTCATAGCTGTACACAGCACCAAAACTGCTCTGGGTTAGGTGTTTTTGGGGTGTGGTGTTTTTTAAAATTTTTAAAAAATTTGTTTGTTTGGTTGATTTGGTTTGTTTTTTGGTGGTGGTGGTGTTGTTACAGGAATGGTTGTTCTACCATGGTATCTTTTGTGATTTTGAAGATCTCAGAATTGTCAATGAAGTTAAAGAGGAGGCTGCCAACAAAAGCACTGCTTTCCTTTAATATTTGTCATAGTGGTTTAGAAGCAGCTTGGTACCTAAGAAAAACTGCCAAAACTTTTAAAATTAAGAATATTAGGATGCTTGGTGGCTAAAATATTTCAAAGTTCTAAGATTAGATGTTTGGTGTACACTTAAGCGCCATCAAAATAACATATTTTACTTGAAGACATTGTCAAAGGTCAAATGAAGAGAAAACTCCACTCAGAAAAATATTTTAAAACTTACCAGTAAATACAGACTAGTATAACTAAGACAAATGATGCTGGTCTAAACAGTAAAATTAAAACTTCTGCAGTACAGAGACCTGAATCCAAAAGACTTTTATGTTCATAAAAATTAGAGAACCACATCTAAGTATTTTTAACTTTTCTATAGGTAGAAATGCTGCTAGCAGTCACATTTTTATCTCCCACCTGGGATCTAACACCCCCACAGAAAAGATGAAGCTTCAGAAAAACAATAAAATAACCCTGCACATTCTTAATCTCCTGCCTAAAAGTAGACATAGCATTTTAAGAATGTACAAATAGATCTTTCACCTCGAAGGTTCAATAAGCATAATCCTGCTTGGGGAAAAAAAAAAAAAGTCCAGTAGGATTGAAATAATAAAATTCAGTATTTCTGGCTCTAAATCAGAAGTGGTAAATCCTTTCTAAACTGAATATACCTGTTAAGTACTTCAGAGAGGCCTTGTAAATGTGTTAAGAAGTATGTGGTTTATTTCCAAAATTTCAATCCATTTTTTGAACACAAATAACATAAATAATCACCTGCTTTCTGTTTTTATTGTAAATAAGTCAGGCTACATTTCATGACTCCTGTTCACATTCTCATTTGTGACCAAAGCAGTGGCTTAACGAGCGAAGACTTTTGCAATCACCTGTGTGCTCTAAAACTGTGCAAACAGTTATCCAGCCCAAAAGCTCATTTTCACTAATCCTGCTTTAATCAGAAGTCTGACTACCTTTGGTGAAAGCAGACAGTCTTTGCAAGTTAATTACCACGATCTGACTTGGAAAGATTCTTCTAAAAGGCCTAAAAAAAGGTTGAATTGATAAAATTGTCTTCACCTCCACAGTACCTAAAGAGCCCTTAGTTCTGTGCATAATAATAGTTTTACTAATCAACATTCTGGTAGATACAGACATTGGCCTTAGCACACATATTACATGCACATTAACTTGAGGCACCTGAGCCATGAATGAATTCAAACCCAGAGTGCTAACTGATATTGCATAGTATGCAAGCCACAAATTGATTTGTTCAATGTTTGTACCAGCACATTTCCTAGGAAGTACAAATTCTGTTGTTACCACAAATAAATTAAAGCTCATTTAGTTAATTGTAAATCATAGAATAAACATGGAATGGGAACATATGAAAGTAGAAATCTGTTATCTTCTGCTTTCTTGCTTATTGCCTGTTAATAGAAGTGATTTAAATAAAATAATCCTTTTTTATTTTATTCTATAATATTTTCTAGAAAATAGTAACTTTAAGGTGTTTTGTTTTTTTTTTACTGGTGAGTTTATGATGTTTGGTGCTTTCCTTATGCACACAGTTCAAAGATTCTGTAAATGCATAAGAATCCCAGTCTTCATTTTTCTTTGTAAAATTGTTTAAGGATCAATATGATCAAAACCAGATCATATTGATTCTTTATGTTCTCTTCTTCCACCAGTTAGATTACCTTCCTTCTGAAGGAATCAGTGCTTATGTCATTATGTGCATGTATGTAAAGGGGGGGATTTTCTTCCCTTTTTCCTTAGTTTTCTATTTCTTTCTTTGGTTTGAACAAAATTTCTAGAAAATTACTGGACTAAAGACATTCAGTTTGTTGATAATTTTATACAATTGGTGGCAAGGCAGAGAATTTATCTCCAAATTAGTTGATTTTTCTGAGGAAAATAATATGGTAGGAGCTCAGTTAGTGGCAGACATTGAGATTCAGTCAAAGCAGAGATTACAGATTTTCTAACTGCTGGAAAAGCTTATGTAGTTTCATATGTTAATAGACAACACATATCCCATATCTCAGTAAAGCAAGCTCTCTTGTTTCTAGACTCTGTTGTCTCAGAAGGGAGGAAGAAATGTTTCACAACTGTTTCTCCTTGAAATTTCACTAAAACTCAGCCAAAAAAAAAGGTTGTGTTCATTTTAAAGTAGGTTCCAGGAGTTCTGGAATCAAGGAGCTATTAGCTAAAACTTTCAGGGTATTTCAACAAATCTCGTGGTCTGAGGAGGCCTTAACTCTCATGCATTTGAGTGCTTTGAGTTTCCTGGTTCTGAAGAGGTCATTGAGCTGATGATCAACAAATACTGATACACTGATCACATGAATACAAAATACTGGTCACAATACAATGAATGCAGAATTTTGATCACATGTCCCCTTTGGAACTTTACTTCTAAAAGTAACACAAAATTTGAAGTGAGAAGCCTACTTCTTGCCAAAGAGAGAGATTCTGCATCTTTAGTTTCCTTGGCTAAAAGGAGACCTGGAAAATTATTATGCAGACGATTTTATTCTCATTCTTTTTAATAGGCAGAGTATGATTGGTAATTAAAAGGTGTGGGTTTTGTAATTACCACATATATCCTGACACTAGGGACTATGCTCCATGCTCAATTGTATTCATTTATCTACCCTTTTTCATTTTCAGATTCAGGGCTTCAACATTGTAAACAATACATTTTCCTATGCAAGTGACTGTACGGGTTTCTTCAGTCCTGGAATCTGGATGGGCTTGGTGACATCTATAATTTTAGTGTGGATCTTGACCTATGGAATCCATATGATTATGCAACTCACAACAAACAACAGATTTGATGATCCCAAAGGTCCAGCTCTGTCAGTTCCTCAGACAGAATAGCCATGGACTTAGTGCTGCTGTGGCTTTTCCTGGTCTGATATTTATGATTTTTATAACCTTTTTACTTCATAATATGTGTAATCTAAAAAAGATATCATAGGAGAAAGAGATAATTAAACTACATATAAAAATTATCCTTATCCTTGGCAACAATAATAATTTTACTTGTTATTACTGTGATTGTTAACGTCTGTGTGTGTTAAGGGTCTGGAGTGAGGCTGTAGAGGTTATTACACTCTCTGGCTATTAGAAAGATGATTAAAAACTGCCTTCAGATTAACTATGATTGTCAAAGAAAGGATATCACAACAAAGATAACTAACTTATTTGATGGGAAACCATGTATATTGAAAATAATTGTCTCTGTAAAGGATTTTTAGTATGTCATGATGATGAGGCTGAACTGAGTCTTGTAATTTTTTCTCTTGAGTACACCAGCCAGAAATGTACGGAACAAATAATGTATAAGTCACTAAATAAACGTCCTTGAGAAGTCTTTTCAAAACACATCACTTTGTTCAAATGGGGTATCACAAACAAGAATGGGTAGATTAAGATTTAGCTTCCCTCTAATGTTACCTTACATCTGTGAGAATTATGTTGAGCAATACTGACTCATATTTGTTTTAGCCATGGACAGCTGATGGAGTTACTAAGTAAGATAGGTCCTTGTCCAAACTGATCACAAAACTAAATTTGGTGTCATGGCAATGAATGCAACTTTTCAAGTTCAGAACCTATTGTGATTCAATGTGCCACTGCAGACAGCATCTTAACATAGATAGGGTAATTTTATTTATTATTTATTTATCTCCCCTTTTCCAGATATTTTTGGAGTAGTTATGAAGTTCATACAAAAAAAGGAAAAATAACATTCTATAAAGTCATTAGAAACACTGTGTTAATGTATTTTTTAAAGTCTGAGCATGATATGGTCATCTCAATGATTCCAGAAGCCCCAAAACATTCACAGTGTGCTGTATACTTCTGCAATTAATAAAGAAACTGCATCTTCTCATTGAGGAATCTGAATATGGAGTGAATTACTAAATTTTATGCAGAACTAGGAAATAGTAATAGACCAATGGTAAAATGGTAAAAATAAATTTTTTGTTCTTTCTTCTGGAATATTTTGCTATGACTGTGCATCTTTGATTAGTAGTTAAAAACCCAAAAATATAATTTTGACAAAATTACATTTGTTACATGAGAAAAATAATGACATTTCTGATCTTGCTCCATGTCATAGTACAGTGTTAAAGTTATAAACCTGTCAGGGGCCTTCCAGTTCTGCGTACTTCTGATTTCACAGTTCAGCTTAATCATAGGTGCACTTGTTAAAACATGCCTGTTTTGGGAGCTGTTCCAGACAGATATTAGCTCTGTCTGAAAAGTCTGAGCCTTTAGGACTTGTACCAGAGCTCACTGAATTTATCTGAAGTACTGACTTCTGTGACTGCTAGCTCATTTCTCTATAAATGTTAATAAAAAATATAGTAAAGATGAAGGGGAATGATGGGTAAAAGCATCAGTTAGAAAAGTAAAAGCTTTTTTTTTTCCAAGTATATAAGGAAATGAAAATTTATCAAGAAAAAATGAGAAACTATCAAAAAACTATGGCACAACATGAAAATAAATTTAACTGTGAAGAATCAGGATTAAACCCTGAGAAAACACAAATCTAAACACAAAAGTCCTGAAGCCATAAGGTAAGGTGTTTTGACACAAAATTCATTAATAATCACTTTTTGGAAGGGATAGCTGAGATGGATCTATAATCTGAACCTCCTGTTCTGATGGGTTTTCTTTGCTGCCTGGTCTATTAGTTTCTCTCCCTGTTAAATTATTTATTACACAAATCATGTAGAAACCCAGCAATTACTTATAATGAAACTGAATTATAATAGACCAAAAGCAGGTTTTTTATGTAAGCAATAAAGGAAGATAAGTCATTCCATCTGCAAGGGAAGACTCAATGAAGTAATTGGCTCTTCCTTTCCTTCTGTGTGACTGATAAATAAATAGCATGCAAATCTAAATCAGATGAATTATCAGGCAGTGCCCAGACATTGGAGGGTTCTGTAGTTATTTCAGCATAAACTAGGCCAAGCAGGAGAAACTATAGGTGCTGAAAGCAAGGAATGACCATGAAAAGCTAGCTCCTAAAATAATCAGAGATACAAGAGGAAGCCTAAATGTTGGGACACTGGTCACTGCTGGCAAACAAAACTTGATATAGTCTTAACAGGTCATGATGACTGTGAGGGCAGGTGTAGTGACAATCTCACCCTTACACTGTAGGAGAGGATGAGACAACCCACACAAGGTGAGCAGGGACTCATTTTCCTAAAGACTTTTTTCCTCTAGCATCCTATGGCGGGCTGATAGATGCCCATGTGGTTGCTCTCTCACTCCTCAACAGGACAGGGGAAGAAAATAAGATTGAGAATCTTGTGGGTCAAGATAAAGACAGGGACAAAACATACTTATGGAAGATTAATTAATTGCTAATTAAAATAGGTTGGATAGTGAAAAACAAAAACAAAATTAAACCAATGCCTTCAGTCTGCACAAATGCCAAAAAACCCCATGGTGTCTAATATCTTCAGTAAGGAAACCTGATCTTCAGTTTGCTTATAAAGCATCTGCTCTCAAATTAGTCCATTCCCTATCAAAACTTAATGCAAAACCCAGGAGAAAAGAACAGTTTCTTCAGAACTTGAAAGGCTTAAAAACTGTTGAAATGCAGGGGAGGAAGGGAAGGGAGAGAAGGAAAAGAAAAAGAATGAGGTCTTACCAAGGGGTGGTTCCCTAAGTAATCTCTCATTGCCACAGTGGGACGGTGTATTTCTTAGTCTTCCTACTTGTGTAGGTGGAAAGGAGACGTCCGACAGTGTCTGAGCCCAAGAGCGAATCAGCTGTTATTGATGTCCCACAAGTGAAGTGACTTCCTTCTCTTCACCACAACTTTTTGTATACCTCCTGTGTGAATACAAGTTCCCTACTCCATATTGTCTGGATTTCTGTATAACTCCTGGAGCTGGTATGTTCTTGAATTATTACAGTTGAGCTTACTTTTAGACTGCTTTATATGTTGTTCATTATTGCCATAACAGAAGATAGTTTATGGAATGATCACATATTTTCTGCTTTGCAAATAGCAATGTGGCTGTCCAGTGGAAGACTGGGAAGCCCATTTTTTAGTCTGTCTTAATACTTCTTTAAGTAGTTGTATGGAAGTAACATAAAATTAATGGTGTACTGTCACTATGACATCATATGCAACTATCTTTAGTTAATGAAAACTGTGCAAAAAAATGTTTGCAGCATCAAAAATACCAACAAAAACCAACTAATGTTTTCATAAAAGTAATTTAGGAAGATGGATAAGTCAAGGACTTTCTGATGTAATGCTTAAATTATAATTTTGTGTATCCTATTTATTCTGGATAAATATGGATGCATATGGATAGCAGAGTGATCAAGTTAGGTATTTAACAGATGGCTTTCCCTGAAACATACTGGCATGATTTAAGATACTACTGTCCCTATCTACCCTGCCTTTCATTCATGCATACCCGTGCCTCAGCTGTTTGTCAAGTCCACACTGCTGCACTCTCTTTTTCCACATAAACGTAATAGATCAGATTTTGCATTAGAGTAGCTGAGATGTAGGTCCTTGTCTGGGTCTGTCTTTCCTGCTGCTAAGTAATAGAATCCTGGCACAGGAGCAAAGCAAATAGCTGCAAACACTGATGTATTAACACATTATAGCAATATTGGGGAAGGATTTTTATTATAGCTGTCAAAAGGGGAAACCAAAGCATGCAAGTATCCAAGTGGCTTGTCAGGATCAAAACCCACATTACAGATAGCCTGAGAAGCAGGAACAAGCTTCAGTTTAGGGAATGTGTTTTTGGTCTCTACATGCATCAACACATTTCAGCTAATAACCTGTACTCTCTTTCATATCCTGGTATAAAGATCCCAGGGAATGTGTTTTTGGTCTCTACATGCGTCAACACATTTCAGCTAATAACCTGCACTCTCTTTCATATCCTGGTATAAAGTCTGTCCATGGCCGAAGATAGCGAGATAGCATCTAGATCCAGCTGTGGCCACCTTCTCTCATTCTGTATCTTCAGACTGCAATTGAACAGGGATATCCCAGACGCTCAACAGTCTCAATCCTTCTCTTTAACAGAAAAGAGAAAAAACAAATGTGGAAGAGGAAAGGCAATACAGATCATCCTCTTTTCATCAATAGTGAGAATCTTTGCCCTTCTGAGTGGTCACCAGAGTTCTTGACTGGAAAATTAAGGCTGGCAACAAAGGGCCCTGCAACTTCCAGTGAAGGTGTGCTCACCTGTGTGATGCTGGTTTGTTTTGAAAAATTGCCCAAGTCTTCAGCTTTCCCAGAAACACTCTCTGGGGCTGTCTGCAAACTAAGGCAGGACTCACTGCTTTGGCTGCCCTCCAGAAACTCTGAGGTAGCTGAAAAGAAGTGGGAGGAGGGAACACTGTGGCTCTACCACATTTATCTTACCACCTGCACGAAGTGTCAGAATTGGACCCCAAACTATTTGAAACAGAAAGTTGAGTTCTGAGTAGGGAAATCTGAGGTTTGATCTATCTTTTTATAACTAATTAGTATTACAATTACAAAATAGATGGTCTGCTTTTGCTTGTAGAGCTTTCATGGATATGTACTTATACAGTGAGAGTGGAGCAGTTGCATCAATTTTCATTGATTTAGATGTACACAGAACTCTTTGTCAGTGTACCGGTTGGTTTTGAAGTCAGAATTTAGACCTTAATGGCTTACTGCTACCAATTTCTATGGTCTAACAGTGATTAGTAGACACTGAAATTGGAGAGACATTGGTATGGAGGACTGTTTGGGTTTTGTTTGGTTGGATTTTGGTTCATTTGTTTTTTTTTTTAATTAGCACAACAAGATATTTACTATATATATCAGGGAATTTGTAGTTTGTTCAGGTTCTGACATAATTTGAACCCATTTCTGCTATAATTGTTTTTATAGCACTCTGGAGTTCAAGGGGGTTGAAA